GGGGGGAATAATAATACGAAGTCGAAAGTAAAGAGGCTGCTAAGGTGTGTGTGGGGGGATGGGGGCGGGAGTAAAAGCATTTGACCACTGATTGGAAACCAAACAAGTAGTCAAGTAACTCAAGGTTTCTGTTCTTTGTGTAACAGACACTGTTTCAAGAGCGGCGACCTTTGTTTCGGGGTAGAAATGACGAGACGGGAGTAAGGCGTAACTAGATCTAGAAAAATCGGTGCTTTTTCGGTAGTTCCCACCCCCTTATATTTTGAGCCTGACCTACATCGAGATCTATACGTTTGATGCGAGCTAAGATATCAAACCTAACAACTGCAAAACATAAAATTATGGTAAAATTCAGGGGGGCATGCCCCCCTGAAACCCCCCACCACATTTTTATTAGGACAGGGGGGCAAGCCCCCCTGAAACCCCCCTCTCTTGAGGCCAAAACCGGCGAATAACAATTGCGGGGTGGGAACTACCGAAAAAGCGCCGAAAAATCTAGTAAACAGCTGATGTTGGTGATACAATCCAAGGTCCATTACTGAACATGATGTCACGTTTTATCATCATTGTGATGGTAGATCTAAGAATTAAATCTAGAGTCTAGATTCTAGAGTCTAATATCTAGATTCTAGCTCAGGCGAACATGCAAAAAAAAACTTGGCAAAGTAATGCAAAAATTGCAGAATTTAATTACACTCCTGTCAGTAAATTCGTTCCCTTAACTTATATTATAAAACATACCATTGTTGTGATAAGCCGCTGTCTTCCTCGATTCCCAACACGTTGGTCGCAAGGTGCCCTAGCCTCCTAGCAGTCTATAGCAGTCGGTATTTTCTAGAACCACATGGAAATGTTCTGCGCATGCGAAATAACCTTAATTTATTTGAGGAGTCATTGATGTACAACCAAGAATAATATTTTAGGAAAAATAAAAAAATAATTAGCAGTACAAAATACTTTATATATTTTTTCTTATAGAAAATCAAAATATCAATGGCATTAGTGTAATAAATATATGGAGTCTTTATCTCAATTACCATAATAAATGAAAATGAAAGAATGCTCCCTCTTGTAGAAGCTGATGAAATTGACCTTTGAGTCAATGCCTTGCAATGAGCCTTGGCTTGACCTATCTCTCTCTTCCACGAGTGTTGAACAACGGGCAGCATTCGCATTAGGCCAAGCTGCAGGGATACAGTTGTGATCAACTGGGCGCTGCGAAGTCTTTTTTGGTCTTCACATTATTTTTGTCATTAAGTTGGTAAGTTGCTGCTTTTCTTTTATGCTTTTCTGTCATGCATGAAAGTGAGTTTTGATAGAATTCGAGCAGATTTTAGGCAGCAAGCATCGTGCAGACCACGTGGGGAAAAAACGTTCGCCGGGTGCCGGGTCACCTGGTGTCTTTGTGATTCCTGTTAGTCCATCATATTTCACATTCACAGCTACTGATTTTGCACAGTTGCTTGGTCAGAATGTAATGTTACCTTTTCCTTTGAATTTATTTCAGGTTTTTATTAAAAGCTAGCGTAGATCTAGAAATCTAGTTGCTCATTTGCGTTCTGGAAAATGAGAACTTTTAATTTGCATGTTCATACTGTCGACATGTCTGTCATGCGAGTGGACAAGACAAAAAGAAGGCTTAGATCTAGATATCTAGATTCTAAATCTAGATTCTAGAAGGCTAAGGCAGCCTTGCCATAGATAGGCTAACCGACTGAACCTCCCCCCCCCCCCCTTTTAAAAAGAATTTCTGAGAGTTGAATTTTGGGCGCTTTTTCGGTAGTCCCCACCCCGCAATTTTATTCATGGGTTTGGGCCACAAGAGTAGGGGGGTTTCAGGGGGGCATGCCCCCCTGAATTTTACCATAATTTAATGTTTTGCAGTTGTTAGGTTTGATATCTTAGCTCACCGCGAATCAAACGTATAGATCTAGAATCTAGATCTAATATCTAGATGTAGGTCAGGCTCAAATAAGGAAGGGGGGTGGGAACTAGACTTCTACCGAAAAAGCACCGAATTCTCATCTGTAAGGTAAAGTAGATCTACACAAGTTTAGGCCCAACCCCTATAGATCTAGATTTCTAGATCTAGAAACAAAATCTTCGCATGCGAATTTCGGACTCGGCCTTGCGAAATTCTGGTAGACTCTAGAATCTATGGGTTTACACAATGACAAAAAGGTTGGTGTGGAAAAAATAGTTCGCACCCGAAATTCGCATCAGTCATCAGTTTTTCGGGCAAATAGAATGTCAGTTTTATTAGATTCTAGAATAGGTGGTTAAGGAAAGCCAGAGTGTTGTATATATAGATCTACTAAGTTTTACTCCAGCCTAGATCTAGATCTCTAGATCTAGATCTAATGCATGCATCTAATAATGTACTTTTTTTTTTTCTATTCCTCAGAAAGGTCAAAATGCACAGGTTACCCGCAGTTTTCCGCTCTGCGGCTGCGAAAAAGCTTGTTCCTGCCCTTACAAGATGTTATGCAAAAGACATCAAATTTGGTCCAGATGCACGGGCTCTTATGTTGCAAGGTGTTGACCTTCTTACAGATGCTGTTGCTGTCACAATGGGTCCTAAGGTATACTGTTCGTAATGAATGGTTTTGTTTTGTTTTTTTATGACAGTTAAGTCTGTAATGGATAGGAACAGCAGAGGCATGATATTTAAATTGTTTTCCAATGAGCATGTTATTGCTCTTGTTCCTGTCCCATTTTTTGCTTTTCAACGAAACTTATTGATTATATTATTATTATTGCATTACGTTTTTTTGCTGGTGTTAATTTTTAAAAAATTTCTTCGAAGCTCAGATATCTTGTCTTGATTGTTTTCCTTGTTGTGTGCCGATAATCTGATTCAAATATTTTTCTGTGGTTGTGGAAATCTTATGAAATATCTGGCATTTTTCAACCGTAAAAAAATTGTGTTTTTTGTTACTTTTTGCTGGGCTTCTGATTGTACAACCGTTTCTCCTTTTATCATTTTTCTCCTTTTATCATTTTTCTCCTGTAGGGCAGGAATGTCATTTTGGAGCAAAGCTGGGGAAGTCCTAAGATCACAAAGGATGGAGTCACAGTTGCGAAAGGTGTTGAACTGAAAGATAAATTTCAAAATATTGGTGCTAAACTTGTACAGGACGTTGCTAATAACACAAATGAAGAAGCTGGAGATGGTACAACCACTGCAACTGTGTTAGCAAGGTCAATTGCCAAAGAAGGGTTTGAAAGAATCAGCAGAGGTGCAAATCCAGTGGAGACCAGGAGAGGTATATATATTTCTTTTTGTCTCAGTAGTTATTTATTTCTTGTGTGTTTACTCGTAATAAAGTTCACAATAATCATAAAATAGATTTTAGGCTTATTTTTTTGTAGACTGCTTGTTCTTTGATTGTTGTTTAAAAAGTTCTAATATTACCTTACTTATCCATTCTTCAATTTTTGCTAATTTCAGCGTGTAACTAAAAAAAGTTTTGTTAGTCAGAAAGGATTAAAAGAGCAAATAATAATCTGGATTTTAAAGAAAGTGATTAAGTTGGTTCTTCACCTGATCTTATCATAGATACAGTGTACACATTCAATGTAGTAATGCCTTCTACACGTATGTGTCCTTTTGAAGAAATTTTAATATTTCGAATATCATCACATTCAGGAGTCTAATTTGGTTTGTTTGTACTTTATTTACAAAAGGTGGGGGGGGGGGGGAACGTTCTTTAATATGAATCTTGATAAGCACTTGCAATTCAAATCGAAATTTACCGATAATTAGATGTATGATATTTAAAATTGGATTTAAATGTTTTCTAGTCTCATATTTTTGTTCATTTGTTTGTTTGTTTTTTCTTAGGTGTGATGATTGCAGTTGATGCTGTTGTGGAACAGTTGAAGAAAATGTCAAAGCCAGTGACAACGCCTGAGGAAATTGCACAGGTATAGTTTTGAAGCTTTAAAAAAAAAAAGAGGGTGGGGGTAAAGTTCAGGTGTGTAAAAAAAAAAGCAAAAAACAATTAGGAGTATGTGGCAGGGTGAGGGTTATGTTACAAACTATAGCTGTATCTTCCTTTTCAAAGAACAGAAAGATATGTTGACGGTAGGTTATGCAGGGAAAAGTAAAAGTTTAAAAAGGAAAAAGTGCATACTTATTTCTCATTGTTCTTTAATAGTAAATATTTTAGTTCAAAGTAAGAAATTCAGCTGCTGTTGGAGGTCACCCAAGGAGTTTTAATTTGAAGTCCTCAGAAGTTTGGGTTGGTTTGTGTTGGCTGTTTGTACTTAAAACTACATGGGCTATCCAGCCATGCCAATTGCCCTGTATTCTGCAGTCTGGGAATTTTGAGAGGACATTAACTGCATTACAAATTACACCAAAACCAATCCCTCTTGGTGTAATTTTGTTCATTGTTGCATCATCTGATGTCGTAGCATTTGGGTGTCCCTGACTGGGTTTTGGAAAAGTTGGCAAGCCTGGCTATGGAAGTGAACTTTTGTACTGAATAAGAAGAAAGGGTCAGCTCTGTCTGGCTCTATGCTTCTTGAATTTAAGTAACTTTTGGAGCAGCGGTGTTAATTATTCCTTTTTATGTACTGCAATAAAGTATTTTATTCTCATTTACTCTGGTCATAAGATGGGTTATTTATTTAAAATGTCAGGTAGCAACGATATCTGCTAATGGAGACAAGGCAATCGGAGACCTCATCTCAAGTGCAATGAAAAAAGTTGGAAGAGATGGTGTAATTACTGTAAAGGTGAGAAAGTGTTTGTCAAGTCTTTGTGCTTATTTTTGCTAAAACTTTGTTTTTAATTACTGTTATTTATTTCCCCTTGGAAATTGGATCTTTTAGTTTGAAATGTGATTTGAAGAGTGGAGATATTACTAATGACAATTGTTTTAATTTTCGTAAGCACATCACCGGATTGGTTCATGCTCTTTATGACATGTTACCTAACAAGAATGTGCAATATTATTGGCAGAGGAATGATTTCCCAGTGGCTGATTAGTCAGTGGTTCATTTTTCGTCTGACATTGATTTTAGTAAAATGTGGCTGTTTTCAAACTGGCAGGCGTAACATTGTTTGCCTTCTTGATGTATATAGATGGGTTGTTTTTTTTTCTGACTGGAAAGAATAGTGAAAAAAATCCTTTGATTGGGATATTATCAATGACAATGGTTGCATTTATGATTATAACTGGACTTGTTTTTGCTCCTTGTGAGATGTTCTTAAACAAGAATGTGTGTATCTAATTATATGCAATATTATTGACAGAGGAGTGAATTCCCAACAAACTGAATAGCTAACGATTCACTGTTTGGGTGACATTGTAAGCTTAATGTGGCTATTGTCAATATGTCATAGAAGGAGAGAAAATAGGGGTGGGGGTGTTTGAAAGTGCTGAGACATTACCTGTGACAATGGTTTTGGTATTCTTTTACTTTCCCTCCCGTTTCACACTTAACTACCAGTTGTCCATAGTGTACTAAATATTGATGTCCTGAACATGAATATCAACTTTATCTCCGTCGCAAATTCATATTTTTATTTTTTTAATTCGAGCTATATTACACTAGATCTAGAAGGGAGTGTTTCAGGGGGGCCTGCCTCCCTGGGCTGAAAAAAAACCAATCGAGGGATTACAGGGGGGCATGTTTTAACCCTTAATTTGATATTTTACAGTTCGGTTTGAAATTTTCTTGAAAATAATCGTTTTGCAACAGTTTTGGTGGCTTTATGTGTGATCTGCAGCAAACAATACTGTAGTTTGACCCCAAGTTAAATGTGAGACAGGCGGGAAAGTAAAAGAATACCGACCCCTGAAGCAGTGTGTCTGTGTGCGGGAGTGAAAGTAAAAATTTACCATGTTTGTACTTTTATAAGCACATCACCGGATTGGTTCATGCTCCTTGTGACATGTTACCTAACAAGAATGTGCAATATTATTGGCAGAGGAATGATTTCCCAGTGGCTGAATAGTCAGTGATTCATTTTTCTGCTGACATTGAAAGTAGCAAGATGTGGCTGTTTTCAAATCAGCTTATCGTAAACAACTTTACTTTTACTGTTTGCCCTCCTGTTGCACTTATGTTATTGTTCTGTTGATAGTCATGTACCATCATCATCAACCTCTCTCACCCCATGCTGGAGAAAGGGGCCACCACGATCTGTAAACTCTTGTCTTGGGCTATAGTCTCCACCTCTGTCCAGGTGTTTCTCATCTCATTTTGCTTTGAATCTTAGGAATTCCTCTTCCAAATAATTTTAGGCCTTCCGTTTTCTCTCGAAACTTGTCTTTATAAAGGGTATTTATTTTCCCCTTGGAAATTGGATCCTTTTTCCTTCTTATAAAGTTGAAACTTGAGAAGTGGGATGGGTTTGTTTATTTAAGTGAGATATCACCGGTTGAATTTAATTGTAAGTGTACATAACCGAACTGGTTCATGCACCTTCTGGTGTGTTTCTTGAACAAGAATGTGGAAGCAATGTTATTAGCAGAGGGATAAATGTCCTCCAGAGTGAATTGTTAGATTCATAGTTTGGCTGACATTGTTAGCAAAATGTGGCTGTTGTCAATATGTCTTAGTGTGGGGAAAGGGGGGGAGGGGGAGTGTGAAATGATGGCTAGGATATTTAAATTACCAGTAATGATGGTTGTACTTTTGTAAGCACATCACCGGATTGGTTCATGCCCCTTGTGACATGTTACCTAACAAGAATGTGCAATATTATTGGCAGAGGAATGATTTCCCAGTGGCTGAATAGTTAGCGGTTCATTTTTCTGCTGACATTGATAATGCTCTCCAACTGTAAATAACAGTAAATGGCCGCAAGGTTTAATCTGTATACATTTTTATATTCTTGCTCATGAAACTTAAAGTGTTGCCATCACAATATAATAATTGCTTCTTTGCTGATATATGTGTCCTGCTTGTAGTAGTATTCTTCTCATCTTCCTTGTTTAACAGTAATTAAAACCATTCATTTCATACAGGATGGAAAAACATTGAAAGATGAACTGGAAACAATTGAGGGAATGAAGTTTGATAGAGGGTACATTTCACCTTATTTCATGAACACCACCAAAGGTCAGTGCTTTTGTCTGTTTGATCAGAATGACACATGTTTTTAAATGTCATGTGTACCATAGATACCCTGGCTGAATGATGTTTGTTATTCAAATTTTAAACAGAAAATGAATTAGACATTGAAAGTAGCCATGCATCTGAAGGTTAATCCTGACTGACAGATTTGTTATCTCCCCTTTTTTGGCATAGTTTTGTTTATAACAAGTTGGTTTCTAGCAGGAAATATTGTGGCATGAAGGAGACGAAGTAGTATGAAATGCATCATGAAGACCTTGGAGCCATCCCGATGGCTTCTGTGAGATGTTAAAAGTTGATACTGATTGCATGTGTCAGTGGACACTTAAGTCTAAGTTGAAGATTCAGCGATGTCTTTTAGAGTATTGTGAATGCAAGAACTAAGTTTAATAAAACGAATTTGGTGTTGTTTGTTGTGTTCAAGGTATGGGTCTTGTGGAGACTTGTCTTGTGCAAATGTGACTGCTGATTTCCAAGTATGTATAATCTGACTCAGCTTGGATAATTTTTATGTACTCATGCAAAGACTCAACATTTTGAAGTAATGTTTTAAAAATTTAATTTCCTTAGAACTGAAAAATTATATTCTGCTTACTGCTTTTGTCTTACTTTCAGGAGCAAAGTGTGAATTCCAAGATGCCTTGGTTCTTTTTAGTGAAAAGAAAATATCCAGTATTCAGTCCATTATTCCAGCTTTAGAACTTGCAAACCAGGCTCGCAAACCTTTGGTGATCATTGCTGAAGATGTGGATGGAGAAGCATTGAGCACATTGGTATTGAATAGGTCAGTAATTAAAAAAAAAAAAAAAGATGCTTTTGAAGTTTTTTTTTATATCCTGCGTATTCTCAATGCACAATCTATACCCCCATGTTACTTGTGTTTAATATTTAGTCTCATGGGATGTCAATTGTGCAAAATTAAATTTCCCTTTTCTTGACTATAAATATCTGTTGTGAATTTATAGTCTCTCTCATGGGAAACATGTGTAAGAATTATCTTTTTATGTTTCTTGTTGTTTTTTAACTCTTTTTTTTATCCTGGCCGTACCCCCACGGACTATTCCTGGAATTCAGGGTGTATATTTCAAAGTGCTGTATTTCTTACATTTACACTTAGATTTCAAGGAAATTTGGCAGCTGTGCTAGAAATTGAATTTAGTATCTGAAAATTTATGTGGTTAGGAATTGCACCATGTCGATTTTGAGGTGTATTCCACCCTCCAACTTAACCCTGATTGCCGCGCCCATAACGTCTCCTTGGATTTATAGATCTACCCTTAGCCATCGGTACTGCACAAATTTGAATACGGTCCCTTCTTCACCATTACCTGAATCACTATTAGATGAGTCTAATTCCTGTTCGTTATTATCCACAACGGAATTTACGGCATTTGATTCAGAGTCACTTTCATCAAATTAGTCTCATTCCCCCTCACAACCCAGCGCCATTTCAAGAAGTACTTTGTCGGTGGTAAACGTGTGTTTTCGAGCCATTTTTCAAGCTTCTACACCCATAAAAAAACAAAGAAACTGCTGTTCATTTGAAAATTGAAATATTGAGACAGAGACAGCATCACCATATTTGCGTATTTTGGTAATTACTTGACCGTATAGCTGTTCCGAGTCTACTCGTAGCCGGGCCTGGTACTCATTATGAGTATACTCGTAACCCGGATAAAGATTTAAATGTACAATTATTTTCTTGTCGGCTGCATTTGTTTTGTAAAAGTGGTAATTCATAGGTTTTTTTGTAGGGGAGGGGGTGCGACAGATTGTAATTTTATTCCTTCCGTAAAAAAATATTTATGTACTTACATTTATATCCTGCGTATTCTCAATGCACAATCTAAACCCCCGTGTTACTTTTGTTTAGTCTCATGGGATGTCAATTGTGCAAAATTAAATTTCCCTTTTCTTGACTATAAATATCCGTTGTGAATTTATAGTCTCTCTCATGGGAAACATGTGTAAGAATGATCTTTTTATGTTTCTTGTTGTTTTTTAACTCTTTTTTATCCTGGCTGTACCCCCATGGACTGTACCCGCGTCCTGGGGCCACCGCCCCATACGAGTTGGAATTCATAAGACAGAGATAACATCACCATATTTGCGTATTTTGGTAATTACACGACCGTATAGCTGTTCCGAGGCTACTTGGAGCCGGGCCTGGTACTCATGAGTATACTTGTAACCTGGATAAAGAATCAAGTTGTACAATTATTTCCTTGTCGGCTGCATTTGTTTTGTAAAAGTGGTAATTCATAGTTCTTTTTGTAGGGGAGGGGGTGCGACAGATTGTAATTTTATTCCTTCCGGGAAAAAATATTTATGTACTTACATTGGTGTTATGTTGGATTTTAGCAAGCTGTTATGAATTAGATCACAACTAATGCTGTTTAAGAATCGTTCAGGTTTAATGGTCTCTGCCATTCTGCATCTTTAAAGTATCAAATTCTGTGCTGCTTCTACATACATTTCCTTTTGAAGTCTTGTGACATTACTTTAAATATTTCAGAATCAAGGTTGGCCTCCAAATATGTGCTGTGAAGGCACCTGGATTTGGTGATAACAGAAAAAATACTCTGACAGACATGGCTATTGCAACAGGAGGAGTGGTAAGACTGCTTTGTTTTTAGAATTCTCCTGTAGCAATTTATACTTTTTGGTTTTTCAGTAGATAGAAGAGATGAGCTCCTTGTTTGTGAAACATTTTGATACATTGTAATTTTTGTCCATGTTCCTTCAGTACAAGGGGTTTTATGGCCATTTTTTTTTTCCTCTCTTAGATTCAGGTGTGGGACTTAATACTAAGTGTACAGAATATAGTTTGTTTTGAAAACATTATAATTACCTATAGCAAGTTTATTTGAGTTTGTTATGTTGAAAGTTGATGCATAGATCAAGATTGTTTTTTTACATGTGTTTTACATCATTTGCCGAGAGGCGTTACAGTTATGTATTGCTGATAAGACATCCAGCACTTTGAAATTACCATTTTTAAGTTGGAAAATGGTGGAATCAGACTTTATATTAGTTTAGGAACCACAAACCCCATATAATTTTAAAGGGGCTTTTGCTGCTGCACTTTTTTCATATTGACGATAGTAACAGAATACAACTATCAAGGTTCTTTTGTTTGGTTTTGTTTCAGGTTTTTGGTGATGAAGGTAACCTGTACAAATTGGAAGATGTTCAAATGCAAGACTTTGGTCAGATTGGAGAGGTGACAATCACAAAAGACGACACACTGATGATGAAGGTATCTTGTCTTATTTATTTATTATCTTGTGCAAAATGGGCTGAGATTTCTAAATGAGAATTAGAGTGTCATGTCCAATGTATAGTGGCAAAGAGTGTCACCATTTTTTAATACTTAATATTCATATTTGTTTTGTTTATTAGGGGGTGGGGCTAAAATGAAACAATTATGATATCGTCGTACATGTACATTGTTTAGAACTGTATAAGGAGTAAAAGATTTCATTTCTTCTGCAAAGAATGTCAAGTACCCCTAATTGTTATTTCATAAACCCATTTTCTTGTAATTGCTGTAAGTCTTTTATTAATCATAAAGCAGTGGTGATAGTCATCTGCTCATAGCAATCTTGGCAAAAAGTTTTATTCTATGCTTTTCACTCACTTTCTTCCTGTCCCTGGTCTGATTTCTCTTCCTGCCACACTTTTGAGACTATGCAGTCTGCCCTGAAGTCTTAAGGAAAAGTACATATTTTCTTGTTGAGAATGGGCATCAATATAGCCTTTTCTTTGAAGACATTTAGATCTCTTGGCTGTGAAACTTCACCTTTCATTGTTTTGAAGTGGCTACAATTTTGGACTGATTTTTCCATAGCATATTTCAGAAAGTTAAAAAAGCAGAACTATAACATTTTTCTGTTACTTTGTGTTGATTTCTTGCATTGTGCGATCATGGGAATATTATGAGAGAAGTGCTTATTCTTTGTTGTCATGGGGTTTGGTAGGTCTGCTTCTGTTTTCATTTTTACTGATTGTACTAAATATTTAAAGGCAAAATAATAGCTTCCAGTTTGTATTTTTTTGGTACAGATTTTCTGTCTGGTTTAGCATCCCTTTCGTAACAATTCCCCCCCCCCCCCCCCCCAGGGTCGTGTTACTTCTTGTAGCATCAAACAGTTTCTTTGCATACTCTTCCTCATTATGTGTAGTCTGCTGATGTACTTCATTTGTTGTCCTCAGGGCAAAGGTGAAAAGGGTGATTTGGAGAAACGGATGAATCAAATCAAAGAGGAGATTGAGCTCAGCAATTCTGAGTATGAAAAGGAGAAATTTGGTGAACGATTGGCAAAATTATCAAATGGTGTGGCTGTTCTGAAGGTGACTATTTCTTTTTTCTGAGATGAAATATTTTGAATTTTATAGTTTTGTTTGAGTAGTGTAGGCCTATTGATTTTGATTTCTTTCACTCGCATTCTTTGTCTACTCTGCTGATGCACTTGTCAGTCAGAATGAATTTGAATGCAATATTATTTTCAAGGCACTTTCCAAATTAGCAGCTTCATTGCTTTTTTGGCATTCACCTTGTTACATCAATTTAATCTTTCAGTGTAAAAAAGTGGTTGTATTTTTCATTTAGTTTTTTTACTTTCTAGAAATAAGCTGAGCCGGTACAATGTTTAGAAAGTACTGACTGATCTGTAAAGATTTTCTCCATTTGTACTATAATTTTTTTTTTGTATATCAAAAAGGTTTGTTGTCTTGATTGAACTAATGGATGGTAAGGATGTTGCTCAGAAAACCATTTGTTTTATGCAGTATTTTCAAATATTTTTAAAAATTTAACCTCTATTTACATAATTTGTTCTGATGCTTTGTCCAGGTTGGTGGTACAAGTGAAGTTGAGGTCAATGAAAAGAAGGACAGAATCAACGATGCTCTGTGTGCAACAAGAGCTGCTGTGGAGGAGGGCATTGTTCCAGGAGGTGGTACTGCCCTTCTCAGATGTATTAATGTTTTGGATGATATTAAGGCTGAAAATGAGGATCAGCTCACAGGTAATGGCCCTTGGAATTAAGATTTTGTTTTGGCCTTATGAGCCTCCGCGTGGTTTTTATATTGCACATGGAATCATAAATTGTGATGGGCAATTAATGGACTTTGCTTTTATAGGGTTTCAATTTGATTTTAATGTGAGGATAAAAATATTTTAGTTTTTATTGAGGTAAATTCCATTTTGTCATTTTGTACTGAAAGTTACAAAGTAAAATGTGGATTATTTATACTTAAACTTTCAATGTTTTGTCCTTTGTTTCAAGTTTACTTGGTAACATGCTGGTTGGCACAGTTGTTTCGAAGATTTTTTTATGTAAAGACAGAATGGCTGCTGAAATTACTAGGGCTACATTTTTCTTCTTGTTTAGTTTGGATAAGAAAAACAAGGGAACAGTTATAAAGTCAGTATCTGAATGAACACCTAACTCTTCCATCTAGTCATGTCATGGCTACGATGGCTGTCAATTGGTGTAACATAATAACACTCTCCCTGCTTTCTGGGGACTTGGTTTTAATACCTTTTCTCCGTTGAGAGAGTGGACATTTTTTGCTATTGTATTTGGTACCGGTTACTAATATTGTAACCGCTGTTGTGAACCTAGTTGTATTGGTACTGAAATTATATTGTCAATTTTTATAATATGTTTGATTTTACAGGCATTAATTTGGTGAGGAAGTCCCTGAGGGTACCAGCCTTGACCATTGCACAGAATGCTGGAGTTGATGCTCATGTTGTTGTTGAGAAAGTGCTCAATTCTGAAGGTGATGTCGGATACGATGCTTTGAACGGTGAATATGTCAATCTCATCGAAGCTGGAATCATTGATCCCACCAAGGTATGTTGTAATGCTAGTCAGGAAGATATTTGAACCTTCACAAATTTCTTTGGGGTAATATTTTTAGTATGATATGAAATGTAGAAATAAGTGAATTATAATCTGTTTACTCAACTCAATTGACCATTATGATAGTTGAGAAATGTTGTGCTTCTCTTTTAACCCTTTCGCACTTAGCAGGCTTGGCCAGCTGTTGCCCCCCATCCTTAAGACAAGGGCAACAACTCCACGAAAATTGAAGGGGTACCTTACTAAAAAAATTGTATAAAATCACAAACACAACCAAAAATTATGAAAATAGTATTTTCTGAAAGGAAAATGAATGAGCTAAATTACTAGTACAAAATTATAAGTGGAATAGAAGAGTATGAAATGATATGAGAGGTCTTTCTGATATGCGTGTCTTGGATTCCGAGTCTAGATCTAGACCTCGTATACTACATTTCTTCAACTCACGAAGTTTCTGCCACTGACAAAGAGGTAATCCACACAATAAAAATACAACACATTCACAGAGATTGAAGCCTCTGGTGGAAACTTGAAAGCACCTAAAAGACTTTTCTTTGGGTGTTTTTATTTTGTTTTTGCCATACTTATATCGGGCAGCTTTGCGCCCATGCATCCTAGAGACATGATGGCGTGTTTACAACTAAAATCTCCTCCGACTTTTGTTACCGCTCAAAAAGTGACTCTTTGTGCTAGCGAAACAAGAAAAACACCATAGTAAACCGGAACTCTTCCTCTATAAAGATAGTTAAGTTAAACTTCTGATGATAGTAAAAGTAGAAGCCTCCCGCGGCAACGAAACAAACACCCCCATGGCGGGCGCTATAGGGATGAGCGGGGGTCACCGGCGCGGGCGCTGTAAGTGCGAAACGGTTAAGCTTAATGATTTTTCCTTATTCGGAAGTGGGTGTATACATAGAGGCCTGGCCTCATAATTCCAAAACTGTCGAAAAACCTTTGCTTGTGTTTGTAATTTCATGAGGCCAGCTAGTCGCCACAATATTTTTAGAATTTCAGAAAATGTTCTCTTTAGCCTGCGGTCTGAGTGAGTGGAGTATGTAAATGAAATCTTTGTAATTGACAATGATGCTTTCTACATCAGATTTTTTACAGTCGTCGTGCTCATTAATTTTTTCTTCTTCTAGCCTCTGTTTCTATCTTCATCTCCTGTATACCTGAGCTGCGCATTGCAAGGTAGTTTCACTTAACCGTGTTTGGGGGTCTACCTGTGTATATTATTTTCCTTGCATTCTTTGTCTACTCTGGTGATATATGATTATCAGTCAGAATGAATTTGGATGCAACATTATTTTCAAGGCACTTTCCAGATTAGCAGCTTCATTGCTTTTCTGGCATTCACCTTGTTACACTTATTCTGTTGTCTAATTAATCCCATTTATGACAATAACTAGGCCCTGTTGAAAATACAGTTTGACTAGTCTTACAGAAAACATGTCTACTGCAGTGGAAACTTTGAAAAATTATTTTTATAGTAGAGGGTTTTACGGCGCTCACAACTGCATAAGGTCATATGAGCGCCAAGTGGAAACTTTAAATTTGTCAAATGTGGTTGTAGGCTACATGTAATTGTTTTCTCAATTCACATGAGAAATTATGAGGAAAGTAGTGAGTAACATAGGGGGGGGGGGGGTTGGCTACAGTTATGATTTGGGAAATGTTCTGAGACTAGCCACTTTTCTGTGATTGGTCACATAAACTTTTACTCATATAGATTGATCTGAATCGTTTTCCTGAATGCTGGTGTATATGATGATAATCTTTGTTACATGTTTTACACAAACACTCATCTTATTCTTCACTTGTCCCTCCTTTGCTGTTGCCTTCACCATCTTCTTATAATTTTCCTTTGCACTGATTTCACAGTAATTTCCTTTAATCAATCATTTCATTGCTTCTTTTTCCCTAATTGAAAATCACTGGGTTTTTTTCTAGGTGGTGAGAACTGCTCTTGTGGATGCCTCAGGGGTGGCTTCTCTTCTAACAACGGCAGAAGCTGTCATTGTGGAACAGCCCAAAGACGAGAAAGATGCTATGGGCGGCATGGGAGGAATGGGTGGTATGGGTGGCATGGGAGGAATGGGCGGCATGGGTGGTATGATGTAAGTGGCTCCTGGACTGATCGTCACAAGTCATTCATTGAAAGGTGTCTCTTCTGAAAACTGAAGTGCTAATGTTCAGAGTGCACAAAAAGGCATTTACACTGCGTGTAGGTAGAGCAGAGTGCGTTCATGCTCGTGTGGTAAGCTGTAACCTTTTGCAGAACCTTGTAGGTCTCAGGAATCTCACCAATGATGCTGGGTTGCCCTGCATGCATGTGAAGTTAGCCTTCTGTTTGGGCTCTTGGGGGTGGGGGTGTCAAGGTGGCCATTATGTTCTGATGTGTAAATGCCAGACTGAATATAATTGGAATGGTGAATGTTGATTGTTGTAGTTATACGAGTGTTTTTGTGAAGTAGACCAAGTGAGTAGCATTTGTTTTGACTGACGATTGTTGATTTTTTACATTTGTGATGTGAGAATGAGTATTTAAACAGATCAGCGAATTCTTTTTTTGTTCCTGTTCTCATTGCAGCACTTGTAAAGTGATGCATTGTTTTTTTTATACTAAAAAGTGATAAACATTTTGTGAAATTGAACCATCATCATCTGATGTTTGTACCACGACCGACCATTGTGTTTCTGTGAAGGGAACTTTCATCTTGATGCTGATGCTCTTTGATTACAATTACAGATTTAAACATGTAGAGTTTCTTTCTTTGTAATCGCAGATTTTCAACATTATCATATATTTCTTTCAAATCATGAGCGAAGGGAGCCAAGTTGGTTTCATGGTTGGTGAATGTACTAAATAAATATTTTGGAACAGTTATAATTTTGTTGTGAAAATGTTTTAGCTCTTGTTTTAATAGCAAGGTTTGTGGGTTTTCATGATGCTGGTGTGGCACAGGAAGCATCATATGGTAGCTATAAATCTACCTCTTGTCTTTTTGAGCAACCTGTAAAGGATCACGTAACAGCAAGTGATATATAGTAGTACATGGAAATTTGAACATCATTTGCTGTTTGGCAAAGGCTGTAAATGACGATGTTAACGGTCGCCGTCACATGGAAAAGGTCACATGCTTTATCTCGCTCAGCTGCTGGAATCATGCAGGCACAAGTTGCTCAGTAGATGGTTGGGGGATGCTCTGGTGTGGTTTGCTCCTTCTTCTTTCGTATCAAACATCTATTATTCTCATCCTTGATCTCTCCTTTTTTGTCTTTGTTTCTCTTTTGTTACACCTCTAATCTTCGGCACTTGCATGAACTTGTTGAGGGGGCTCTCGTGGTTTAGAGGTTACACTACAGTGATTGCCTCTCATTCAATAGGTCCTGGGTTTGAAACCTGACAGCTACAGAAAATTTTCTGCAAAAAATTGTCTCCTTTCATGCTCTCTAACTTCTAAGCATGTTCTGTCGTCCTCTTTCTTCTGTGGGTGGTTGGGGGTGCTCTGGTGGGGTTTGCGCTTTCTTTCCTACCAAACATCTATCGTCCTGATCTCTCCTCCTTTTTTGTGTTTGTTACTCTCTTGTAACACCTCTAATCTTCGGCACTTGTTTTTTTTTGTATGACCTTATTGTGTTGCAATTGCAAGGGCGTAATACTTACTTACTAAACCTGCTTTCTTCTGCCCTTTGCCCCCCTCCTCTGGGCTCCTGACTGACTGTAGCCTTTCTAGAACTGCTATTTCTTGGCTCCTTCCTACTGCTGTCTTTCAGCCACACTCCTGATCTTATGGGTGGTGTAGGTAAGATCTAACACCTAGCCTTATCGGATAAGGGCGTAAAATCTCGGAGGTCACATGTGCAAGATGCGCACGTTTAAAGATCCCTTTGTGGTCCTAAAATTGATAAGCCATGCAAAATTCAAAATCCCTACCAGACAAAAAAGGTTTAATAGGTTCCATGCTTATGTGACCTTATGCAGTGGCGAGCGCTGTAAAACTTATCAAAACGAACAAATAAATGGCATTATGGAGAGCTCATACTGATCTCTTATATTTTTTTGTCATTGGTAAGCCCGAATTATGGATTTGTGGAACACATTTGTCAATCCCGGATGTGTTTGAGTTATCCATGCCTTACTAAAACCTCTCTTCGTTTCATCATTTTAAAATCAACTAGATCTATCTTTACTCTGCACTAATAAAGACAGGTCGCTTATTGTTTGTAGACCTACAACCCATTTCAAGATAGGATGATGTAGTTGTGGATAAGTTTGTAAACTAAAATTTTATTGCCAAGTCATCCATCCATTCATTTATCGAGTTGCAATTGTTGATGTCAAGTAATTGGGAGTAGTTATTAGGAAAGCTGCATCGCTGAACTGTTTTCCCTATGATGATGACTATCAATCATCATCACCTACAGTCTGATCTCAATCTGTTCCCTGACTCTGACATATCAGTGTTCATCAGAACAGCGAGTCTGCTTTTTTTACACCAATCATTCAAAGGCTTTGCAGACGTGACCATGATTGAAGCGTTCTTTTGTGGGTGGTTGGCGGGTGCTCTGGTGCTAGGGAGGTAACCAATAGAATTTCATATAATACTTATACTATTAATACATGTAATATAATAGCATTTGCGCAGGGCAAACTCCCGCTCAACAAAACACTATATATGTGCTTTATAATCTATATTATTACTTTTAGTAATTACCCCAGTGGATCTGACAGCATTCTGAAACAATCTCAACTTTCTGGGAAGCACACAGTGTAAGTTGCGATTTTATAAGCGCTAAAACTAAAAGATTAACATATACTGACAATGGGTACCAATTCACACTTGGGTAAATTGAGGAACATGCATGTAAAATGCCTTTTCCAAGGACACAATGCTGGACCTGAGGGGGCTACCCCGACCCCGCAACCTCACGATTATGAGTCCTGTAGCTTAAGATAAGAAGATATCAATTCAGTAAAAATAATCCCATGATCTTTTTAGTTTTAGACATGATGTAACATTCATAATTTGTAACATGGCAGCCGTTATTTTCACGACATGTCGTGGAAATCAAATCTATGCGCTTTTTCACGACCTGTCATGGATAAAAAAAAAGCAAGGCGTGTTCTCACGATTTGTTCTTTTTTGAGGGACCAATCAGTAAACAGCTGGGTCATGCCAGAGGGTGTAGACTCTGCCCTTTTGGACTTGCCTCTCTTTCACTTTCTCCAAGAATTGTCGATGCAAATTCCCATCTCTTCGAAGTGGGACGAATTTTTAAATCGTATCGTGAGTTTGAGGAAGAATTTCGAAATACTGCAGTAGCCTACAAGTATGTTTTCAGCAAAATTCCTTGAAATCAGTCAGTTTAGTTTTAGTAGTAAGAGTTTTACGGCACTCGCGACACAATAGCTGAATAAGGTCATAATATAAATGCCGAAGATAAGAGGTGTTACAAGGGAGTAACAAACGTCTAAAAAGAAGGAGAGATACAGATGATAGTTGTTTGAATAGGAAAGAAGGAGCAAACCACACCAGAACACCTGCCAACCACTCACTCAGTACCTCAACCTGTTCTTGATTTGTAAATATAATGGAAGCTTTGACAGCACGAGCAGAGACACATCAAAGACATGCACTAACTTTCATTAAGTGTTGATTTTATGGTTTCTTGGAGGTATATTTTATTTTTAATATCATTAGAGAGTTGAAATATTGAAGATCAACATTTTCATTCAACGTTAGATCTTGAGTCTACCTTAGTTAGACCTACCCCTTACTCTTAAAACCCACTCTCTCTCTCTCTGGTTAAGTGGCGAATCGAACAATTGCTGGCGATGGCTAGACCTAGATTCTAGGCGTACTGTGACAAACCTGCACATTAAAAAAAAAGACAAAGTGAGTGCAAATAGACCTGCAACTTACTGCCGAGAGTTAGATTCTAGATAGACTACTGTTTAAGAAGCTAGAAAGGCAAGTGCACCCCCCCCCCCCCCTTCTCTATCTCTTTAAAAATTTTGATTTAAACATATAGCGCGGCATAGATGATGATGCAGCAAGTGCAGAATTTCGGGATGGAGGCTATGAGTTTCGCAAGGGAAAGTTGTAAGCACTCTCCGCACCCATCACAAATCTGGTAGGTTTGACACCTTAATTGGAGTGGTGGTAGAACAGGTCCAAAATCGGAAACTAGATCTAAATCTACCGAAAAGAAATTGTATTTTAGCTAATAGGTCGAGGCCTCTGCGGTAAGACTAAGAGCCAGTATGTCTTCGGCAGGTTGTGAAAAAGTCCATAGATTTTATTTCCACGACATGTTGAATGATGTTGTGAAAATACCGGCTGCATTATTATAACACCAATTCAATACAATTATGGTACATCATGTACCGTAAACCAATGTGAACTGTACAACCCACACTTGATTTAGCCACAGTCTTGAGACAGGACGGGGAAATATACAGTGCTGGTATAATATACATACACAGGTTTACACATTTTTCCTTCATTGTACGCCCACCAACTTATAAACTAATACAAACTTCAAAATGAAACACTTGTGTACAATCTCAACTGTACAGTCTGTTTATTAGGCATGGCTTTGAATTCAGCATGTTTTTCATCCAGATAATACAAAACTTTTAAATAAAAAGCATGGATGTAAAAAAACAACAACGAGTGCGCAGGGGTGGTCTCAGCTGGAGCTGTCTTCCTCATTCTTTGAGAGCAGCCTCCAGCTCACCATTCTCTTTCATCTCCTGAAGAAAAATAAAAAGCACAATATTTAGGGCTACTGATAAAGTAAAGTTTGAGAAAATATTGGGCATGAATTAACAGCAAAAAAAAAGGCTGTTTATTACAGCATTTTGATAAAATACCCTGCACCAATGAATTCAATGATGATACAGCATGGCAAATAAATAATCTGTTGCAATTAGCTCCAATGGAGAATCACATTTACTATGCTGGAATACGATGCAGCAGGGTATGAAAAAACAAAAATTCAAAATAATAACTAAAGAAAAGGTATACACTCCAGCACTCAGGCACATACCAAAATAATGCTAATACCAGGTATCTTTGGCAAGTTAAGAGAGTATTTTGCCTTACTGTCAACAGAGCAAGTGGTTGGAGGGTGACACTGGTAGTGTAGGTTCTTTCTAATCTTTCTTTCCCTCTATTGCTTCTGTCAGTCTGTCTTGGCTTTTTCCTTGCACTAAATAGCCGTTGTTATTGTGTCAATATGCTTCTCTTTATTCAAACATTCTTTTAGTTTTAGTAAGAGTTTTACGGCACTTGCAACACAATAAGGTCATATAAGTGCCAAAAATTAGAGGTGTTACAAGAGAGTAACAAACATAAAAAAGAAGGAGAGATCCACACGATAGATGTTTGATAGGAAAGAAGAAGCAAACCACACCAGAGCACCCGCCAACCACCCACATTCCAACATTCAACAGACCACATTTATGTCTGAACAGACTGAAGCAGACAACAAAACAACGTAACTCAAACTCACTTTGATAATGTCAAGTCCTCCCATCAACTCTCCTTTCACATACAGTTGGGGGTAGGTAGGCCAATCTGAGTATGTCTTCAAACCTTGCCGGACTTCGTCATCACTTAAAATGTCAAAGGTTGTGTACGGCACGCTGAAAAATAAGTTGGTTTATGGTTAACTGCTGATAATTATTAACACATTACACCCTAACTTGCCCGCTCTGACCGGGCGTCTTTAGAAACGAAGTCTCACCTTTAATGAGACTCCGGGGCCAAGATTTTGTTTTACATAGTTATTGCAAAATGTTTCTTCTTCCGTTTGATACCAAAACGACAATTTTCGGGTTTAGTAATAATAATAATAATGGATTGCATTAAAATAGCGCATATCCATTTATCATTTGCAATGCTCTATGTGCTTAACATGAAACATATCATCATTTTATGGAATTACAAATCAATTTTATAGGCACATAGTATTACATATACGTGCACACATACTCATGCACGCATGCATGCAGCCACACACACATACATACACACATACGTACATACAAACTCACGACAATCTGCAGCTTGGATGGATTCTGTCTAATCAAAATATGACGAAAATAGAAATGCTTTTAGTTTTTTCTTTAAAATTTCTAGATTTTCTGTTTCTCTGATAGTTTTTGGAAGCCGATTTTCTGAGCGTTCTTGGTGGTACATACGGTGTTAAAAACTGTTTTAGATAGTCAGGTGATAGATCATGTAAGCACTTGTAGCAAATTAAACAGATTTTATATTTAGTAGTTTTAGTATTAGAGCTGATCAAAGTGCAATAGCATTTCCGACACTTCGAAGGTGTCTCGACTTGATGAAAAGCGACACAATTGAGCTTGAAAACGGAAATAACGATAGATTTGAGCAAGAACAAGCAAATGACAAATCAGATATTAATGAAAATGTTGTAGCAAGAGTTTGGGGCGATTCAGATTAATCAGATGTAGAATAGAAATAGATCTAGATCTAGATCTGGGCCTGACCGCGAGGCTGAGAGTAAGAGTGATGGGCCGGACACCCCAACTGAACTAAAGTTAGAACATTTTCAACAGTTTGTGCATACAAAAAGTTATATTTTTATGAAACTACATTCATTTCTCTCTCTAATTTTTATTTTTTCAGGATTTTTGGAATTTGTTTAACATATTTTAAATGCAAGTATTCACGAGAGGTGGGTTCCTTCCCCTTGCTTAAGATCTGGGGTAGACTTCCCATCCACGCCCTTAGGGTGTAAGGTGTTTAAAAAAAGTTAATCATTTAATTCTATCATTTAAATATTGGCTAATGTTAATTAATCCCCCCCCCCCACACACACACAAAGCGACAGATGTGCGAACAGACATTATTCCAAATCTAATATGAAAATCGTGGGAAAACTCCATTCATCTACATTTAGCACTTGTTATAAATTGGTTCCTGAATCTACTTTCACCAGCAGGAGACAGAGTATCAGCCATTATCTTCAGAAATTACCTGAAAGCTTAATCACAATCTTTATTTTTAGTAACATGGACAGTATTGTACCTCAACACAAATTGCTATGAAAAATGAAACTGCAGCGACACACGTAATGCAGAGATGACGACCTGAAAAAAAACCCCCAACTAAGTAGTGATACAGCCAAAAATATATTTTTTTTGTAAGAGGAAAAATCTTCCCCTAAAAACTAAACCAAAATAAAAGTTTCAAATTTTTCTAAACACATCATCATCCCTGCATTATGGATACCACTGCAACTTCATTTTACGTGGAATCTTGAACATTAAACAAATTTTCAATAAAGAACCATGACAGCTTCACCATGTGATCCTCACCCTGTCTCGTTTAAAATCCCAATTGTAGTTCTGCTGAATCCGCAGCGGGGGGTGCTGGGAGAACCCTTCATAAAGAGCACCACAGGGGACTGGTTGATGAGGTTCTTCAATCTGCAAAAAGAAGCGAAAGACTATCAAACACCATTTATATTAGCCTTGTTGATTATAATTATACCACCATCATAAGGAGCCAGATCTGAAATGCAAGATCTGAAACAGAAGTCAGCAATCAGGTTCTCCATTCATTTCTCCTCTTGGATATTCTCAAAAATCCTATACTATCCTGTAACTTCCCTGTTACCCATCCTGTAACTTCCCTGTTACCCATCCTGTAACTTCCCTGTTACCCATCTGAGCAGGTTTTCCAATTAAATTTCTCTAGGTCTACCAGACAGCAAAGGCAGGAAAGAAGCAGGACTTGCTCATAACCTTCTGCCAGCTTTTGATTCAGTATCAATCAATCATGTACAGTAGTCTCCGCCTAAACGCACGGTGCTCGGGAGGGCTCTTCAGCGTGTGTTTATACGGAGCGTGCGTTTACATGAACCTTTGCAAAGGGAGGAAGGGACGCAGTCATCTCATTGCCTTGATATTCTAGTGACCTCCCTTTGGGGTGAGGGTCAATTTTTGCCGATAATGTGACCACACGTGACTGTTTTGTGAAGGATTCCCCGACTGCGGTTATGACTACAAAGGCGTTGAATGGAGGGTGGTGGTGGAGGGGGGGGGGGTTAGAAAGACAGCCTCAATGTAAATTAATGTAATGAATATGCACTATACAACGTCGGAAACAGGTAAGAGGAAACTGTTGGAGATAGTCATAGATCTAGTCATAGAGACGACGGCGCGGCCACGTGGCTTTCCAAGCGACCACCCCCTGACCATAAATTCATGGACGACATCAGAATCATAGATCTCTACATTCAGAGAAACATTATTCTTGTGATTCGTTGAAAAAGTACGTTATAAGAATACATATAAGGTCTTCGAGCGCAACTGATTAGGCTTACTTGGCTAATCTTAAACCCCATTGAGGCCTATCTAGTGTTTTACTGCATTCACGCGTGTTGCGCGTCAGGCCTAGGTTTAACTAAACATTATACGCAGTCACCCAAACACCAGTCAGAAACCTTCTCTCAAAGATGCATTTCCAGTGACCAATCAAAAAACAGTTCAGTCCCCCAACCGCGCCCCCCCCTCCCCGATCAGCCCTAGACCGAGAACCAGACCTGCGTCTCTTTGGAAAGTTGGGTGTGAAAACGTCCATCACTCTCTTTGTTCCACGTGAGGGGCACTCTCACCCGGTTTTCTTGGCTTGTCTATGCAAGCTGTGCAGGTTGTAGTGAAAATTTCCCCTTGTCAAGCTTAACCTGTCGGCGTGTTTCGTGGATCGGAACGTGCGTTTAGAGAGAGTGACCGTGCGTTTGTACGTCTAAATTATATAGTAAAAAACCCGTTAGATGACGAAAGCGTGCGTTTGAGCGGAGCGTGCTTTTGTATGGCGTGCGTTTAGGCGGAGACTACTGTACAGTGCAGTTGCCTAAACTGAAATCTGCCGGACCGCTAGATTGTCTTCCATTCGGCTGTGTTTCCGGTTCGGAGAGATTGCTCAAGTAGCAAAAAAACAAACAATCGATTTACCGCTGTTTCTTTTGGATTAAAGGAGCTCAAATAAGCAGACTCCACTGTAAGTATAAATGCAAATATATATCAGTGTTAGACATGGCCTCTTACAAAAGGCGTTGAAATGAAAGTAGCCAGGTAAAAATAAAATGCCTCAGAGTGATAAAAAGGACACAGTAAGAAATGAAGACATAAAGGATTTGGTCTTCAAAGCAACATATCACAAGTAGTGGCCAAGTTTCACAACACCAGTCTTCAAGTCTTCAGGACAGCACACCACTCAACGCACTCTGCAATTGAGTGCCAGTGAAGTAGAGGTGAATTTTCACAGCATTAGACTGTCCCTGTGGTTTTATGCACCTCGCATAATTTAGCAAAATTTGATCATTTTTTGCATAATTTCTGATTATTTTCCTGCATCATTCTTTGTTTAAGTTCAGAATCGAATAATTTCACATTTTTGGGCTCAGTTTGCATAATTTCAGAATTTTTCTTGCATAAAACGACATGGACAGATTAGACAACGTATTCTGTGCTGCAATTGTTTACATTTTGTCTTGGGACGATGGTGCATGTGGGTAAATTTTAGTCTTCTTAGGTGTTCTATATGTAGAAACTGTGTAGGTAAAGTCTTTCTCTTTCTTGACACAGGTATTTACACCTCTCTTCTATCGTCTTCGATCTTACGCAGTCTGTTCTCATGTCCTACAATTGACCTCGGTAAAGGTCACATCCCTCTTGTGTCCCCCATGTATCTCTAACATAAACCTCATAAAGAAAAAAAGGAACCGGTACATGAAAAAAATATTATGAAGGCAAAGACATTTCATCATCAACATTCCACAAATGCTTGAATCAATTTCTAAGGGTTTCCAGATAAAGTCACTATTCAAATAAGGACACCAATGGGCATCTTACAATATAGTTTCTTTTTGTTTTGTTTATTCCATCCTAGTTTGTAAATGAAAAATAATGAATGCCCAAGTCATAGTTCTTATTTGAGGCCCCTCACTTTCTTTAATTTTCTCAAAACTTCCTAAAAATTACTAAGGTGTTTGTGGAATGATGTGGGTGATTTATGTCCATTATTCTACAAAAACAAAGGATTTCCCCCCTCCTGCTAGTGAATCTCTTTGTAAACCCCTACCCACAGGGAAAAGTGGGGGGGGGGGGGGAAGGGGCACACAACAACCAGACAGGGAAAAGTAAAGTGATCATAATGAACAGCCAAGAACCTCGTGTTCAGATCTTGCGTAGACGGGACCAAGTCCTTAATCTCCCCTGACTCCACCATCTCCTTCACAATGTCCAAGCCTCCCATGAGCTCTCCTTTCACATACAGCTGGGGAAATGTGGGCCAGTTGGAGAAAGCTTTCAGACCTGTGAACATGAAAGTAAAAGAATCGCTAAAATGGATCATAATTCCTTGTTGTTTTAGTTTTTAGTAAGTTTTACGGCACTTGCAACACAATAAGATCATATAAGTGCCGAAGATTAGAGGTGTTACAAGAGAGTATCAAACACAAAAAAAAGGGAGGGGAGATAAGGATGATAGGTGTTTGATAGGAAAGAATGAGCAATCCACACCAGAGCACCCGCCAACCACCCACAATTCCTTGTTGTAGGAGCGAAATTGCCAAAGGGGGGAAGCGGACTAACCAAAACAGAAGGCACAAGGGGGTCAAAGAGAGGAATACAAATATATCTGATATGACTATAAACTGTTTACCCCATCCTAATTTCATGTTAAAAAACAAGCCTCCATTAATAATGTGTCTTTACTATTATGTGTTAGACTCATATACATGTATATTTGTGCTCTGAGGATTATATATATATATATATATATATATATATATATATAAAATAAAATTTAAAAAAAAGTTTCTTTTTCATTCATTCCCTTTCAACACTTCCTTTGACCAAAATCATGATAAAGCACTTGATAAATAAGCCAGACACTCATGCTGTAGCTTACATAAAATGTAAAAATTGACCAAAAACCCCAGCAAAACACAAACGAGAAACTCTTCAATACTAATAGGTACTCTTTATATCACAACCCTGAAAGTGAACCAAAAAGGCATGTTCAGCTACTACAGTAGTCTCTGCCTAAACGCACGCATACAAAAGCACGCTCCGCTCAAACGCACGCCTTCGTCATCTGACGGGTTTTTAACTATACAATTTAGACGTACAAACGCACGGTCACTCCCTCTAAACGCACGCTCCGATCTGCGAAACACGCTGACAGGTAAAGCTTGACTAAGGGAAATTTTCACTACGAAAAGCCTAGAAAACCGGATATTTGGCAAGACTGCCCCTTATGCCGAACAAAGAGAGCGATGGACAGCATTTTCCCACCCAACTTTCCACAGACACATAGGTCTAGGACTCTCTAGAACTTGTCGGTGAAATGTTGGGGGGTTGGGGGACTGAAACGTTATTTGATTGGTCACTGGAAATGCATCTCTTTTGAGAGGTCTCTGACTGGTGTTTGAGTGACTGCGTGTTGGCTGTTTAGTTAGACATAAGCCTATGATGTGAAACACGCGTGAATGCTCGTTCATGAATTTACGGTCGGGGGTGGTCCCATGAAAGCCACGTGGCTGGGCCGTCGTCTCTATGACTATCACCAACAATTTCTTTTCAGTCTATTGGTTCCCGACATTTTATGGTTCATTCATTACATCAAATCTGTCTTTCTGCCCCCCCCCCCCACACACACACACCCATTCAACGCCTTTGCAGTCTTAACCGCAGTCGGGGAATCTTTTACAAAACAGTCACGTGTAGTCACATTATCAGCCAAAGTGACCCCCACCCCAAAGGGAGGTAGCTAGTATATCAAGGCAATGAGATGACTGCGTCCATTCCTTCCCTTTGCTAAGGTTCATGTAAACGCACGCTCCGTATAAACACACGCTGAGAAGCCATCCTGAGCACCATGCGTTTAGGCGGAGACTACTGTAATACTATGTACTATAAAAATTCTCAAGCCAAACCTTGCCGCACATCATCATCCTCCAGGATGTCAAAAGTAGAATACTTGACGTTTTGTTCATTCAGAATCTGGATCATCTGGCGACTGAAACCTAAACGCAAAGAAACAAAATTATCAATAAATAAGTAAAGAGACAAGATTACTTTAAAAAATAGCAAACAACTGAAAGGATTCAGTCTTTCTCTGTATTGCACTCAATTCTGTTGTCTTTGACAAAGAGAAAAAAACTCAGACTTCCTTTTAAAAACAAATTCCCAACTCAGTTTTTGGTATTTTCATGATCGGAAGCATCACAGACCTGTGAAAGACAGTCAACAAACATCTCTAACACAATCATTTGTAATTCTTGCATTTTAGAAATATTGTAATGACACTGTCCAGGACTTTCATTTGTTTAAGACTATCACTTTTCTTCTCGACAATGGGAAGCCATCTTGGACAGTTTCGACTGTATTGTAACTATTCACATTGCACATTAAGAGAACTTACCACATCTGGGAGTATTCGGGTCTCCTTTCATGAACAGTATTACAGGGGCGGAGTTGATCAGTCTCTTCAGCCGTTCATTTAGATTCTGATGAAAAATAAAGTAAAATTTGTAAACTAAGCTTTTTAACTTTTGAAGAGTGTTTGCACAAAATGAAAATCGCTAGTGTCAGTCGCAATGGAGTTAACTCCAGGAAACGTAACTATACAGGAGACTGGAAAAAAACACTCTGCATCTGTCTCTTTGGAATAACATCAAGAGGCTAGCCCAGGATAGAGAAAGGTGGAAGGTGTTTGTCCGTGGCCTATACCCTGGTGCAGGGTGAGAAAGGCAATGATGACGACGATCTGTCTCTTAAACTCGATAGCTGAGCACGTTTCTTTCTCTTTCAGAGAGCACCGATATTATGGCACTGTCATGTCCAGACCTATCCTCGACAATCCCCATATATAATATAAGGAGAAAGCATGTAAGGACTTGATGATAACAATGTAGAACTCATGTAGATTTATATATTCTTGGACCATTTTCCTGAAAATTTTGTTTCACATCTCAGGCTTCACCATTTCAAGCGAATCGCCTTTGAAATATGAATACGACATATCCAATTAAAAACAACAATTAAGGATACATCTTTACCTTTAGAAAAGAAAACAGAAGAGATAATTCATTTTTAATCCTCCATGAGCGGGTGAATGGAGCAGAGCACTAGACAGTTCCACAAAGAACAAGATGTCTCACTGGAAGAAGTGAAAATGGGTAAGTTCAGTGAATTGACCAAATTTCATCAATGCTCAGATTTTCTTATAAAGTGTCTGAAAAAACTTAAAGAGTCATCGTTCGGGTTGAAAGTAGTTTTACTTGCTTGGGAATTACATTTCATAATCTAGGTCCACAGTCTTCAAGCTTTTACCTATAACAATGATGTATTAAGGATAAATTCTTTTAACTTTCAGCTCAAATCGTGATTTGTGTCACCCGATAAGATAAGATAAGATAAGACACATCTTTATTGTCCAGATCCTGGCACATTGGTTTGGGGGGGCCACTGGTCTGATCAGTCCGCAACCACATGAACATGACAAACCCTAAGGATAACTCATCCTCCCCCCCCCCCTCCAAAGAAAGCGGCAGACAACAATTCTACACCCCAGAGTGCGGCACATACCTCTGAACCACTATTGTAACAGAATTAACCTCAAAGATCTACTAGTACTAATGTACTTGCTTGGTGAATAGCCATAGAATCTGCCCGACACTTGCTCCTACCCATACTCAGACTGAAAGCAGCTTCTTCCTCCACATGTAATTTTACATACGTGCTTGCTGTTCACTAAAAAAAAAATAATCCTGAACTTTTCAGACCCCGTGGAAACACGCAAGCAGGGACTCTAAATTCATCAGTCCCCGCAGTTTTATACCAAAAAAATTCTGAAATTACGCAAACTGAGCCCAAAAATGTGAAATTATGCGATTCTGTTAATTTTAACAAAGAATGATAAAGGAAAATAATCAGAAATTATGCAAAAAATGATCAAATTTTGCTAAATTATGCTGGGTGCATAAAACCACGCAGACAGATTTATGGATCATATTGTACAAAATATATTGTAATAAGCCAATAGGACTGAATCCAGATTTCCAAATTTTTCTGGAAAATCAGCACCTCTGATTATATCTTACAGTTTTTCTGTGATATACAAAAGCTTTCACCTTTTACAGTACGGTACCTCACTGGGCCAAATTGTTACATGCCCAAGGATTGCTGCATCAACAACAAAATGTTCAATAGTAATAAGTAAAAGCTCTGTACTTCAAATCTACAACGAACCTGTTTGGCTGACGGTTGGTTGAGGTCACTCACAGACCTGGATGAGTGCTTGTTCACCTTCCCGGTCAGTTCTGCTGCGTTTGCACCATCCAGCCTGTCAATCATTTTGCCACCCTATGAAGACAAAAAAAAAAAATTGAAACAAAAAAATGGTTAACTTGTCCATCGGGAACTGAAGAGGGAACCAGGAGACCTTTTCATAAAATGTAATTCTGAGCTATACACATCATATGTTTCATTTTTCGTACACTGATATACATTAAAACAAATTTGAGTTATTTTGAACAATAACCAAAAGGATGCTGCTTCTTGATACCCAGTACATAAGATTTTAAAGGGGATGATTTGAGGTTGAAAATGTATTCAAGATATGTACATACAGGGTTTTAAAAATTATTTTTTTTGTAAGTGTTTTACCGCGCTCGCAATTACATAAGGTCATACAAGCGCGTGGGACACACCAAACATTTTCGGTTGGTAGGAAATTTTGAATTTTGCCCGAGTGGCGGCTGAAACCTACTTTTATTGATTTTAGACCACCAAGGGATCTTAAACATGCGCAACGTGCACACAGGACCTCCGAGATATTTCGCCCTTGTCCGAGAAGGCTAGGTGTAGATCTTTCCTACCAGAAGATCAGGGGTGTGGCTGAAAGACAGCAGTAAGAAAGAGCCAAGGAGTAGCAGTAGAAAGGCTGCAGAAAGAGTCAGGAGCCCAAAGGAGGGGGCAAAGGGGGTGAGGGGGAGGGGGCAGACAGTGGAGACGAAAGCAGATGACTGAGCATTGTAAGAGGGCAGGAAAGGAGGGGAAATGAGACAATTTTAGAGAAGAAAATGTTTCGGTCGCTACCCGGATTTGAACCCGGGACCTTTGAAAAAGATGCGAACACCTTAACCTCTAGGCCATGAGAGCCCCCACATACAGGTTATAAAAAAACCAAAAGACAAAGTTTCCAGTGTAAATGTTGTACAGTCCATGCTGGCTTTAAGCACGGTCATCGGGAGAAAGCTTAAGCGTGCTTAAAGCCGAAGCGTGCTTGAGTGCGAAGTAGACATAATCAAGAGATTTTCATATAGAAAATTTCCTGTTCTATTTCCCTTTGTTTGTAAGCAGGCCTATAGCGGTCCCGTAAAAGTGTGCACTCTTATTTTTACCCTCCATGGTAGTTTTTGTTTGCTTGTTTGTTTTTGTTTTGAGGTCGAATGGGAAATGAAAACTTAATTTAGACGGCCAGTCACGATACAGCACACTAGGCCTACACTCTGCCTGTGCGTTAGTACTGGCCGCTGTGCCACATTCATACCACCGCCTTCATCCCACTTCGCGCGTGATACACAATCCGGATTAATTGATAGCGACGGTCAAAGGTGAAATCGCAGCCAGCCTCCCTTTCTCGTCTCGCTGACTCTCTTTGTATTTTTTTCGTCTGTGTGTAGCTTTGTCAAAGGCTAGATCTATGTCCACGCGCGCGGCTGTGTACATCTCTCTGTTTTCCTCTCCGCCCGTGTGAATGTGTGTCTCCATCGCTTGCGTTCTTTGTGTTTCTCTTAATTAACACACTCACTGCTGCGGTATAGAACTTCGATAGGTCATCATGAAAGTATTGACTGTCTTGTAAAAGAAGCGTGCTTGAAGCCGAAGTTACCGTGCTTAAAGGCGTGTAGTTTATATAGCAAAATTTCGGTAAGAGCCGTTTAGCGTGCTTGAGTCCGAAACGTGCTTTAAGCCGGCGTGCTTAAAGTCGGCACGGACAGTATCTCATTCTTTTCAACTAGAACCCCATCCCTTAGTGTCATAGTCACAGCACGAACAAATCCTTCCCTGTAATGGAATAAGGAACTGACTATTTTTTCCAGTGAAACTGTTGTATCTGATCATCTTTTTATTTGAAATTGAATATAATACGACCCCCACCCCCCCCGGGTTTAGAATTAATCCGAAAAACAAGACCTGACAATGTAAAAATTCAGGTTCTTGTAACATGTTTAAAACTAAACCCTCTGAGAATGGCTCATACTTATTGGTTACTTTATCTATGTAATAGTCATGAGACAAATTTCATTGCCTCATTCCAAAAAGACAATACTGACAAAACATACACCTTGCTAATGAGAAATCCAGAAACTAAAAAAAATTGTAATCTCCTGTTCAAACACAGAACTTGGGGAAAAAAATTCACAAAGGCCACTCTCCTGACAAACAATTTTGTTTCCCTTCATATTAAAGCATTTATCAATACAAACAAAAGTGTACAATTAATTGCGTAATTGCATCGTCATTAAAAACCACAGCTGTAGACTAAAAATTACTTTTTCTTCTTTCTCTATGTAACGAATGACTCCAGACAATTACCTTTATGAACACGAAGGTAGGTGCAGCCACAATCTCATATTCATAGGAGACTTCTGCTAAACTCTCAGCATCAACCTGGGAAAAAAAAGATAAAATTCACATATAAAAAGTTGAACGATGATATATACAAATATGGTAACGAATGAAAAAGAGAGGTACAGAGTACAAAACACCTCTAATGACTTCCAACATCTCTTCCGCATAAAAGTTTGAGGCTTGATGTAACCATGCCACAGATGAATGCACTCAATTTTTACCACCAGAGGTTTCTATGCAAGTGGGCAGTATGCAGGTAACTAAGCAACAGTGACAAAGATGACATTCACACAACCCTTGCCTTTTATAAGATAACAAAAAGCATTTAAAAAAAAGTAAAGTTATTCAACATGAATGTGGAGTGTCTAAAAAGAAAAGTTAAAAACATTAAAGCAGAATGAAGTACGCTACAAAGCAAGGATCTTTAATTCTGAGACCAAAGCATGTTGACCTATTCTTTTTAACAACTAATCAATTCCTGCACACAGGTGAAGTTGAAAACTCATGGATAAGTTAAACTCATTGGGAAGACAGTTTCTGTCTCAGAATTGCTGTAATTCAAAAAAAACTATCCCTATCACTGTAATGCTAATTGCAGTCAAAATGTACAGTTTCATCTGCAGAGTATTGTTCGCACTATGCCAGGAGCCACCGAGCTTTTTTTAACAAAAAGCTTAACAACTGAGAGAATACTGAGCACAGGGTGGATGACTATTTCATTCAATACAATTACGCTGAATCATTTAAAAAATACATCAGCTCGAAGTAAAGAAGTCTATAAAATTTATAAAAGCACAATTTATTTGCACTATAGAGTAAAATGTCAATTATCAAAAGTCTGGAAAGCAAGCAACATCTCACTGCGCACAAAGATTCCACTCTTTAACTTCAACGTCAAATCTGTGCTCCTCTACTGCTGCGAAACTTGGAAGTCAACAAAGACAGTACTGAATAAAGTCCAGACTTTCATCAACAGATGTATGAGGAGTATTCTAAGAATTAAGTGGCAGGATAGAATAAGAAATTAAGAGCTGTGGGAAAGGACAAGACAAAAGGATATAGAAGTAGAAATAGGACTAAGAAAGTGGCGATGGATGGGACACACTTAAGAAAGCCCAGCGGAAACATCACGAGACAGTCACCGCAGTGGAACCCACAGGGAGCACGAGGCAGGGGTAGGCCACGGGAAACATGGAGGAGACGCGTGGAAAGGGACATGAGAGAGATGAAGCTCACTTGGAATGAGCTTGGAAGGATGTCCCAGGACAGAGATAAATGAAAGGAGTTTGTATGTGGCCTACACCCTGCCAGGGGTGAAAGGCATTGATGATAAAGTAAAATGAAATGATAAAATAATGTTGATGATAAGTCTTGAGCATGTTACAAACATACCTCTCGGGTTGTATTTTTCCACAAGGTGGCATGGCAATAAGCCAGACAAACTGACCGCCTCTGGCACTTAGAACATAGTTTAGTCACACCTGTACCATGCAATACCGTAAAACATCAAAGGCAACGCAAGTCAGTTTTACTTTTCGGCTGATGTTAAAATACTTTAAAATCATGTTTCTCAATTAAAGACACACAGATGATGTGGCCTATAGATTGTCACATCCCTTCTTTAGATCTGTTGTTTGCTTCCCTAGAACCAAATTGTATTTATTTTATTTATATAAAATTAAAATCTGAAAAACATGACAAAAGTAAACTTTAAAAAAAAATAACTGTGCGGGTCATTCCAGTAATTAAACTCACTGTGATAAAGGTGACATCAGCATAGGCAGGGTCTTTGGACAGTTCATTTGCCACATCTCCCATTTGTTGACACTGCTCGGCCCAGGACGCAGCAAAGTGTACCACCACGAGACGCCTGCATAGAGAACATTACAGTAATTTTAATATTTTCCATGATTATGTGCAACAGCAAAATGATGTTTGTAAGTATTAAATCAAGCACATTTAAAATAAGGCATTAAAACACAGTGAAAACTTGACAGAAATTTTACTTAATAATAATAGATAGCATTAAAATTTGTATAGAGTGCAAATCCCCGCTCAACAGCAAGCTCTAGGCGCTTCACAATCTATACTATTACCCCAGCAGACCTCAGAGCATTCTGAAACAATCTCAACTTCCGGGGAAGCATACAGTGCAAGCAGCAATTTACTGGCGCTAAACACTAACATACTGACAAGATCTTTTGCTGTCTATGGCCGGGTACTCATTCCCACCTGGGTGAAATGAGGAAAATTCGTGTAAAGTGTCTTTCCCAAGGACACAACGTCAAGTCCGCAGCTCGAACCCCCGAACCCGCAACCTCACGATTACGAGTCTGGTAGCCTAACCACTAGGCCACCGACGCCACTTCCTGGCGTCACCAAACCAACTCAATCTATAAACACTCATTCGGGGGCTCTTGTGACCTAAAGGTTACGGCGTTCGCCTCTCATTCAATAGGTCCCGGATTAAAAACGTGACACAACGGGAAATTTTCTTCTCTAAAATTTGCTCCTTTCACCTTCAAACCCTCCAAACCCGTTGTGAGAAGTGAGAAGACGGTCAAAAAAGTGAGACCGAAATTATAGAGGCAGACAGACAACTGAATATTTGAACATGACATAATATTTTCATGTTTAAAATCAGTTTTGAATATTTGACAATGGCTTTTAATTCAACGCATATATATATAAATGTATCGTATTGATGACATTTGAATATTGAGTATGATGGATCAAGCTGGATTTCTTCTTGGACGCAGGACTTAGCATCTCTAAGTGTAAGCAAAGTCGTAGGCACCATTCACAGGTCGTTCAGTTTTATCTGTTTCTGGCACCGAACCCAATGCAAAGCTTACCATTCTTTAAATAAACACGATGGGAGGACTTTCGTAACGAGCAACCACTATGAGACAGAGAGTAGAATAGAGGGCCAGGGGTAGGGGAAGGGTAAGTAGGGGTAGGGGTAGGGTAAGGTTATGGTTAGGGTAATCGTTAGGGTTAGGTTTTGGTTTAGGTTCAGGGCTCTTTTTTATTGTGTTTGTTGGGGTAGTCGCTTGTTACTGAAGTCCTTCCAACACGATAGGGCCTACTATCAGCAACTAAATTTCTAAATCAGGTTCTCATCCACAGCTACACACAATAAATACACACATGATAGCAGCATAGCTCAGAAAAGAGTCCAGGTCCAGAGCCAGATCTGGAATCTAGAAATCTAGATAGGGGGTGCCCACTAGGGAATGTGGATCGGGTCGGGTCGGGTCGGGTCGCTTTCTGGCGGTTTCAGTGCACACTACAACCCCGCCGCAATTGTACCCGATGACCTGGAAATTAAAGTAGAGAAACCTTAGACTAAAAAACTTACATGCGACTACACAGAGGGCGTAAGCCGGGCTACGATTGGCTGAACCTTTGACCCATGAATACATTAGTAGATCTAGGCCTATGGTACTCTTGGACTTCCCACACTCCCTCTCTCTGTCTCCCTCTGTTCTGTGTGTGTGTGTGGGTGTATTGTGTGCTTGAGTGCTCACTTCCCACATCAGACACCTACATCTAGCAATGTTGTAAACACCTCTCAATTTGTCTCTCTCACTCCCTACTCCCTGTCACTCCCACCACCCTCCTTCTGTAATGCTCCTCCTTCTATTCGTTTTCTTCCTCCTCTAGGCCTATGAGAGCGCTCCAAACCCTCCAAGAAACCCGCTGTGAGAAATGAGAAAAGGTCAAAAGCGTGAGACTGAAACCGTGAATTCCCAGCCTACTTAATGTATTCATGGGTCAAAATGGACACGTGACTCAGCATTGTTGAGATTGGCTACAAACCACCCGAATCAAGCGATTCGCAGGCCTGAAAACAAAAATGCGTTTGTTTAATAAAATTGTAAGTCACCGCCAGAGTTGATCGGTTTGTGCCATGATGGCTGCTTTGCGCCCTCAATTTGGCTAGCCCCGAGTACCCGATGGGCCGACCCGACTGCGTATGTGGGCACCCCTATTATTAAGCCACAAAAGGGCAAAGGCACAGGCTAGAAGGAGAGTGACATAGACTTTTATAAATGAATCCAGAGAAACCAGTTGCAAGAAACTTACGAAGCAGCATCTTTCAAAATTTTGTCAAATCGTTCCTTATCTTTGACCAGTTCAACAGTTGGGGAAGACAAATTGCTCGCCATTTCTTTTGATTTATGAAAGACGAGTGACGAAGTACAGTACTAGTACTATGAGTTTGGGATGGAAACCCTGCAGCTGCTGTGTCACTGTCACTCGGCGAGGCAGCAAGCAAGTCGATCTCTCTCTTTGCAAAACAGCGGATGAGACTTACTTCCCCTGTTAGGTTATGCCACAGAATTCTACACTTCTACACTACTAAGTGTAGAATTCTGTGGGTTATGCGCAACCTTTTCCCCCCCTTTTTGCCATTTTGTATTATATAGCCTAATGATCCTGTATTATTAAATGTTTAGTATTATTTAGATAAATATTTCCTTTTGAAACAGTTCATCGGTATAATATTGTCATGCAGTGGAAACTCATTCAGCAGTTTTGGCGTAAGTAGCGCTACAACCTCACCCTCAGCTTTAGGCTAGCAAGCACTGCAAAGTGCAAAGCATAGGCTGGATGTCAAGTGCTTATAAAACTTTTAGGTGTCTGATTCTGATATCGTTTTAATGGGGTAACTAATTTTCAGATAGGCCTATGGTGAGGGTCCCGATGAGCGTATGAATACTATTAATAAATTTGATCTGTTTTGATGTGTGTTTTGATAGAGTAAAAATGCTGGTGATAGCAGGTTCCGAAAAAAGTCTGGCGCCTCCAAAACGCAAACAGGAGCGATTTGGTACTCCTACAGTTTTGTACCCCGCTAGCAGGTCTAAATTATCAAACAAAACTATAAACTATATCCTATTGAATCCATAGAAAGCAAAGTATTCATTCCATCTGATGACTGAAAGTTTTAAATTTATCCGTAGCACACCTCATCGATAAGCTGTCTCCTCAATGGATGATTGATAAGAAAAAAAAAAAAATATATGCCGTGTATATATATATATTTGTGTGCGTGTATTCATTTTCATACAAATACACGCACGTACATATACGTGTAAACGTACATTTTACAACATGGCTTTTTGCGTGTATTTTAGAAGAACAATAATCTGTAGATGCACATAAAAACAATGCAAGGCAGTGACCCGACACCAATAATTCTAAATTGTAGTTTGTATATTGTGGAGCAATGACCGATCTGAGAGCGAGCAGAGAGGGGGGGGGGA